AGAAGCACGTATGACCACTAGACCACTAGTCAGAGCTGACTAGTGGACTAGTGGTCATCGTGCTTCTCAACAAAAGTTATTGCCTGTGTCCGCGTGTCCGCAACCTAGGGGCTAACATCTTGTCGGTCGGAGCTTTGGCCGAGAAGGGGGTGGTGTGTGATATATTGTAGACCCCGCCGGCGCTTTGTCATGGCAACCATGTTTTCCCCATCTCGACGGCGGTGCGGCGGATGTACGTCGTGAACGTCATCATCGACGACGTCAATCTCGACGCCGCCGAGGTGTACCGCACCAAGGTCGACGCTGATATGTGGCATCGTAGAATGGGTCATTGCTACCCACGTGCTCTGCAGCAGCTGGCGGACAAAGCGACAACCGGAGTGAAGTTCAACCGGAACATCGAACCAGGTGACTGCGGGGTTTGCGCGGTTGGCGTCAGCAAGAAAGGTAGCCACCCCCCGCCGAATCGCACTCGAGTCACTACTCGGCTTGAGATTCTGTGCGCCGATGTATGGGGGCCGCACCCTGTCAAGTCGTCCGGCGGTTGCCAGAGTACCGTTGTGTTTACTGATGACCTCTCTTGCATGAGGTTTGGCTTTCTCCTGAAGACGAAAGATGGGGTGGCGGAGTCGCTACAAGAACTTATCCAGGTAAAGCGGATCCTTTGGGGACCTGCATCGGCAAGGTGCACTGCGATGGCGGAGCAGAGTTCAAGGGCAGGTTCCAAGCGTTGTGTGAGTCCATGGGGATCAAGCTCGATAATAGCTCTCCCTGCGTCCCGCAAGGGAACGCCATTGCCGAACGTGGATTTGGCACCATCGTCGGAACGGCGCGCAAGCTACTCCTGGGAGCGCCGCACCTTCCAGGTCATCTGTGGGGCGAAGCATTCCATACAGCTATCTACCTCAGGAATCGCACACCTACGGAGGTTCTGGGCGGAAAGGCCCCACTTGAGGTATGGGAGGGGAAACCGCTCGGTGACATGTGGCACATCCACGAATGGTGCTCGGTAGCCTATAAGCATGAGGAAGCGCGATTCTGGAACACCAAGCTGTCAGCTAGGGCCAAGAAGATGTATCATGTGGGGTACAACACTTAAAATAGGACTACAGGCTGTGGGAACCGGCGGAGCCCCTCAAGATCACCAACTCCGCTGAGGTGTCCTTTCGTCAGAAAGAGACTCGCGACGTGGTCAAACCCAAGGAAGGGTACGACCCGTTCTCAGCGATGACTCCCACCACCATCTATCTGCCGGACACGGTGGACACTAACGAAGAAGAAAACAAAACAGAAGAAGAAGAAGAAATAACGCCAACGCCATCGGGACCCCAAATGGAGGATTCGAACCTACATCGGAGCGGCAGGGTCTCCAATGCACCGGAGAGGATGAGTCTACATACGACGGAGGAGGCGTACGAGCGGACCGAGCATGCCCTGTTGACGGGTAATGTGCTCGGAAACATCGGGACTGGTCGCCCCGGTGAGGCGGGCTACAGGCCTGCTGATCCCGCAAGCTATGACGCAGCGGTCAACGGTACGGCGGGAGCACTCTGGAAAGAAAGCGTCAGCGACGAGGGAAAGTCGCTATACGAACATGATGTGTTCGACTGGGTGGATCCGCCGAAGAACGCTAAACCAATCCCGTCTAGGTTCCATTTCGTGTGGAAGTACAATCAGGACGGCGTCGCGGTTCGCGCGAAAACTCGTGTGGTGGTGCAAGGCTTTTACGAAGCTGACACAGGGGCCGACAAGGCGGCGCCGGTGGCGTCCATGGAATCCGTACACCTGGTGTTAGCAGTTGCTGCTCACAATTATCTCGTCCTGAAGCAATCGGATATCAAGACGGCATTTCTACATGCCAGAAGCCAGAATCCCCGAGGAGGCGGAGCCTACCTACGTCATACCGCCGAAGGGATTCCCGCGTTCGCCGGGTCAAGCTAAACAAGTCTGGCTTCTCAAGGCGTGGCTCTATGGCCTGCGCCTCTCCCCGAAGGAATGGAACGGTACGTTCCATGTCTTTCTGCTGGAGCTTGGCTTTGTGCAGAGCACCGCAGACCCGTGCCTTTACTCACTGCTCGACGGAGAAGTACTTCTGCTTGTTCACGTGGACGACATCCTGTTGACCGGCACCAATGAAGATCTGGTGACGACGGTAATTTCGAAGCTGAAGGAAAGGTTCGAAACGGTGGATCTGGGGGATGCGAAGTTCCTTCTGGGAATGACCATTCAGCGTCATCCCAACGCCGGAACACTTCTCCTGACGCAAGAGGCGTACACCAAGGCCGTGCTGGCTAAGTTCAACATGGCTGACGCACACCCAACGAAGACGCCGGCTGAGGTTGGGCCGGTCACTACGGCGGAGGATGGAGTGCTGTCACCAGAGGACACCATGACATTCCGGTCGGCTGCGGGTTCGGTTCTTTACCTTTGCAGGGGAACAAGGCCGGACATTGCACACTCGGTGTTGGTGCTTACCAGGAGCATGGCTAAACCGGGACCGAAGGCGATGGCCAAGCTGAAGCGGCTGCTTCGGTACCTGAAGGGTACCACCTGCATCGAAACCACATACAGCGAGGATGCCGAGGATGGAGATAAACTAACAGCGTACGCAGACTCGGACTTCGGAGGTGACCTAGACGACCGGAAGTCGACTACGGGGATAGTTATATTCCCAGCCGGTGGACCGCTGGACTGGAGGGCGGCGAAACAACCGCTGGTGGCCGTCTCATCGGTGGAGGCGGAGTACGTGGCTTTGTCCCAGGCGTGCCAGCTCATCATCCCCTTCCGGCACCTACTGAAGACTATTAACCGTGCCCAGAAGGTGGCAACGGTGCTGTACGAGGACAACTCCGGGGCTATATTGACTAGCCTTAGCTCCAAGATCACGCCCAGGACCAAGCATATCGGTATCAAGTATCACCACATCAGGTCACTGATCCAGGATGGAGTCGTAAAAATCGAGAAGATCGAGTCAGCAATGCAGAAAGCTGACATGTTTACCAAGAGTTTGGGTGCGGTGAACTTCACCAAGAACCGCATGATGCTCCTAGGAGAATAACTTGTGTTGGAAACGAAGCTCGGGAAATGTGTGTAGGAGGAAAAGATTTCGCTGCTTAAAGGAAATGAATGGCAGCTAGAAATGATTTGGATGTTGTGTTGTATGTATACAAGTACTCGTGAAGATTGTTGATTCGAGAGGACGTTGACGTTGTTTTGAGAGGACATTGAGAGAGAAGTTGTCTTGTGTATCAGAACGAGAATACTGTAGTTCTTGAGAGGACATGTTGGGGTATTTGTGTTGTGCATGAACGCGACTCTATTCTGCTGTGTGGGTTTATCCCCGGCATTGTGAAGGCGTGTTTCCAAGTCCGTAACCGTCAGGTGAAGACAGCTTGGGCGCCTGTGTGTGGATAATAAATCACTCTGTGTTTCTCTACCCAAGCCTCCGTCACATGCGCCAGCCACAGCATACAACAGCCGTTGTCGTGCTGTTAGGGTATAAAAAATCCTAAGGAAACTGGCTTCGCAAAGTAAGCCGATGACCTGCTTGTATCGACCTGGCAAGCACAGCGCTGATCACAGGGATGGCTACCCTGGGGGGACGTGTTCGTGGCTGCAAAGCCAGACCGGACACAGGCATTATCTTTTGTTGAGAAGCACGATGACCACTAGACCACTAGTCAGCAGACCACTAGTCAGCGCTGACTAGTGGTCTAGTGGTCATCGTGCTTCTCAACATGAACCATGATTGATTCTGGATATCGCATGGGGTGGGCAACATGTTTGGCGACCGAGTCACGAGCTCGCTTATGACCAATCCAATCATTGCACGGGGGGGGGTATGTCGTACGTAAGTCGTGATAATATTAGGCATTTTCGACCGACGTATTCGCATCTTGTTGCCCTACATAGTGCCGCAAGAAAATACCGACACATAAGTCGGTGAACTGACTACTACCGAACCTGCGGCACATACTCATCCCCCCAACACTTCTGTGTTTGTCTGCGTTTTTTTTTCCCGATAGGGAATCGTGGGCCGAAGTCCAGCTGGCAGCGAGCGTCGAAGTCGTGGCGTTGAGCTTTGAACTTGCCGTCCAAATTTTCGCCGAGACTATCCTGGTGGAAGCGAAGGGGTGCCAGGGGAGCACTCAGCTAATTCTCGAGCGGGTCGTGATCGACTTTCCTCTGAGGCACGTGCGGTACCTCGAGCACCCCCGCCTGCCCATGGATATCGCTGATAGCAGTTGAGCGTAGAGATCCAGCAAACGTGCTGGCGAAGAACAGCAATAGGCCGCTACTGCTCACTATGCTGTTGCTCCCCGATTATTGAAACCGAGGTACTGACTGCATCTATTGGTACCTATTCCTGGCCAGAAAGCCCCTCACCGTACCCCCCCAAAACCCTCCCGCGTTTGTCACTCCGCTCCCCTCCAATTCTTATATACCCAGGTACAAGGGAATGAAAGGAGGAGAGCGCACCGTGTGGACACCCGTGCAGCTACACGACACGCCAGATGCCTTCATCTCTCACATCAAGACCAGCATTCCCTTTCGGCCCTCGGTCACAATGACCTACCTGTTCCTCTCTCCCGCTAGCGCCCACCGCGCTGTCGGTGGTCCCATCATGTCGATACAGAGGAGCTACACCATGCACCACCGGAGCAGCTCCAAGTCAAGCTTGTCCATGACCAACCGCCCCTTCCGGTCGCTGTATGGTGGCCTGTTCTTATCGGGAGCGGAAGCAAAACACTACGGTGAACTCTTTCGAATGCAAGGGCTGTCCTTCACAGTCGAAGGCGTCGCGGGGGCAAAGGAACACCTGGCCGAAAACGTCGAGCGCGCGAGAGAAGTCGGGGACACCTTGGGCGTGCACTCGTCGCTCATGCCCCTGGCGCTCTTGTCGGGAGTTAACGACGAGGGAGTCTCGGCGGGGTCGCAAGCGGTGGTCGACCTGTCGCGGGTAACGAAAAGCGCCGCAGCCCGCCACCGCTCCCGCCGAAACCTGTGCGATCACATCCTACTGATACTGGGGATGTTGGTGGGATGGGTACGAGGTTCGCAGCCGATCTTGAAGTGGGAGGGCGGTGGTGGTGTCATCTACCTCGACGACGGGGACTCTCAGGACGACGAAAGCGACGGCCAGTGGCACCCCAAAACCCGGTGCGGTTCATCGAAAGACCTCGTCCAGACTTGGCTTCGAACGACCCACCAATTGTTCTGGGGGTGGAGGTGCGACTTGCTGCGATATCTGGACGAGGACCGCCACTCGGACGTTGTCGTTGTTAAGGACAAGGCGAGGGGCTGGATGGAGGAGATTTCCGATGCCGCCCGAATGGGGCTGAAGCTGCCGATGCTGCGGTGGCACGATCACGGCCGCACCATCGCCGACGGAAAGAGTGGTTTCTTGAAGGCGGCCGCCTTGGTGCGGCGGCGTTTGTCGGAGGTGAGTGCGTGGCTGCGCTGCCTGGACCTGTCCCTATCCTGGGATGCCGCCAAGGTGTGCGATGGAGTGCACGAGCGGCATCTCGAAGAGAAGCGAAAGAAAGGCGACGTTGCACCGCAAGGCGGGTGGCCGCACTTGCTGGGGTTCCAGCTTGCTAGTCACGGGGGTCACGCGCGGGAAACCGGGCTGTCCTTGCCGACAACTGCGGGCCTCTTGCAGTTGCAGCGAGGCTGGCTCGACGACGCCGTAGCGGCCGCGCATGTTCGCGACAGCGAGGCGATAAAAGAGAGTGGTGGCAAACGGATCGTAGGCCGAAGGAAGAAAAAAACGACGGCTTCTTCAACGGCTGCGGCCGTTGAGGCCGCCTTGACCAGCGGGGTGCGTTATGTCCCGGCTCCGGCTACGCCCGACTCGGCCAGGGCTCCGAAGGCCGTGGAGGTACGCCTGGCCGTTGTGGAAACCCTGCGGGAGGATACCATTCCGGAGGTCTTCGCCCACGAGATCACCCTCATGAAGTACGCGGCGGATAACAGGATAGACAAGTCCTTGCACGACAGCATTAGCGAGGTGCTCACGTCGGTGCTTGCGCCAAACCCATTCCCGGTGCTGACCGATTCCCTTGCCGTGAGTTCCATCTCGCATGTGTTCCGGCGCACTGTCGATTCCGAAGAAGACGCCATCCAATCAGGCGCGCCGAAGCTTGTCGTACACGCCGGTGAAGAAGAGGGCAGCCAGGTCTTCGTGGCTCACGGCACCCGGAACGGAAGCGCAAGTATCTACGGGTCGAAGCCAGCGCTGGAAGACGTTGACGTGGAAGGCGCATCGACCCTGTTTGGCGTCTTGCCGCCCATTGCGGGATGGGTGCTCGATGGGCTAGGGGGCAGCTGGACGGATGTCGATGTCGGCATCTCCGGGTTCGCACGGTATCACGGGTCGCAGGCGGCGCACCACGCCGTCCCGTCGAATGTGACGGTCATGCTGGCGTGCGCGTGCAGCTTCGATCTAGACTCGGGCACCACCCCAATGGAATACTTCACCCGCTGTGCCGTCCACTGCGCCTCGGCTGCGCACACGAACAACTCAGGGCTGTTAGTGGTCGGCCTCACCGCGCGGACGGCCCCCGAAGATAACCTCGCCGCACCACCGTGGGAGGAAGCAGCAGCCCTTGACGCAGGGCAGTTCTTCTCCCTCATGCAAATATTGGACGATCCCGAAGAAGTGGAGGACGAGCTGGCGCACCTCCACCCCGGAGAGATCGTCCTGGAGGCATTTATGCCCTTCCTCATCCCGACTGCTGCTGCCAAAGATTTCGTTGTCGTGCCACTATCGATCAGGTTTCTTCTCCTCACGTCCGATCACGGGGACAGTGGTTGCAGCGAGGCTCTTGCAGCCGCCATGTTCTACGACTGCGTGTACTCCACGGCCAAAGCGGCCGAACGTGCCGCTGCCCGACACTCTGCGGTGTTGAACGAATCTGGTCTCCCCGCCGGAAGAAACTACGTGAAACGTACACGTCGATTGGTGTTGGACAGGATTGACAGGCGGGAGTACTTGGAGGCGTACCGGCTGGTCCACCATCTCCGTGCTCTGCGGTCGGTTGAGTTACCGGAGGAAGACGCACAAAAAAGTGTCCCAGCAACAACACCTGAACCTGACATCGGGGGGTCCAGTCAAAACGGAGAACACAACGAGTATGTCTCCCGCAACAGAGCATGGAAACTGCCGGAGGACAGCATCCCACCACCAGACCCTGACGGCGAAGAGGCAGAGGCAAGGGCGATCAGGCGTATGCTCAGGGGTCCTTCGGGGCGGTTAGACCATGCCCGCAGATTGTTGGATGTGCTGCGAAGGCTAGTCGAGAGGGAAAACTTGGCCCCAGAGACGATAGGGCTGCTCGAGGAGGGGGAACTCCGGGAGCATGCCGTGTACTGCACATCGTACCTGTTGGATACTCTTGCGGAACAGCCCCCGGTTAGGTTCGAGGGCGCGGTCGAGTCCATCAAGCTGCGGGCACGATTACTCTTGGACCGTGTTGTCGAGATGGCGGGACCCCGGGGAGTGAGCAAAGGCGCGACTCGTGCAGCAGCAGCTGGGGCAGATGCGACGAGGGAGGCGGCGTGCGACCTGGCCGCGGCTGTAACGTCCATGCTGGACATCGTGCAGCTCGCTGCGGAATCTGACACCCACAGGTGCTGCCCCGAGATGGAAAGAGCGATAAAACGATACCGAGCAACGGACAAGAGAAACGAGGAAGAGCTGCCACCACTGGGCACCAAGAGAAGCGGAAGGCGGCGAGCTGCAGCGAAGGCTGGCGGTACCTCGAAGAAATCGGCAGGGATCCGGGGTTCCAAGAAGTCTGGTAGTATTAGTGATGACCGACGTGGTCGCCGCAAAATCCAAGGGTAACTCGGCGCATGTATCCCGGGGCCCCTGCTGCCCAATCCAATAGCAGAAGTGACAACATGTGTCGCCCGGCAAAAATAGGCCCTCTAGAGTGTGGGCAGCAGCATCACTTATCTAGCTTCGTGGACAAAGAGGTCATGACATGCAAAATGCACAAAACATGGCATTCCCGGCATCGTTTGTTCTGTTTTTTCCCCGCAACGCACCCAAGCACCCGAAACAACAGTGTGGTATCAGCATAACTCCAAGTCCTGCAACTTTTCATAACAACCCGTACTCTACGAGAGAACTCACGAGTTATGCCCGTCCGTCCAGAACAAATAACGCTTCCGGTGTACTCTGGGCTGCTTCAAATCCTAATCCCATCAAGAACGTAAACAAATTGCAAAAACTGTAGCATACACCTCACACGGAAAAAAAAAAAAACTGCAAGGCGTGCCACGAACGAAACCAATAAATTGAGCACAACTAAACCCTTGACAAGGAACCCAAGCGTGAACACCAAGACGGCCCCAGCCATCGAAGAACGCCAGGCGCTACCCACCCCGCAAGGCCCCCAAGTTTTTCAGAGCTTGTCATGAGGCAACAAAAAATACAACTAAATAGACTTTGTCAAAGATAGACCACGCCCCGTCCGTTTTGTCCGGGAGAGGGTCTGTCTGTCGGAGGGGCCGGCCAAGAATAAAGCGACTGATGTGATGTGATGTGATGGGTCCGGCACACGTCACAGGGTGCGCTTAATCTCTTCGAGCGAGTAACACTGCACCACGTCTCCCTCCTTGAAGGCGTCGAAGTCCTCCAGAGCCACGCCGCACTCCTGTAGGGAGAAGGGGGAAGGGAGAAGGGAGAAGGGACACACGAGCGACACGCGGTGGGCACGGCCGTAGTGGTGCGAGGAAACAACCAACGGTGGTTGGGGGGCGTGAGAAAAGAGCAGGGTAGACATGCAGCGCAAATCGCGTTTGTAGGGTTGCGGCAGTTTTGAATGTACATCCTCGTGAAGAGATTGGTTCTCTGGGGTGTTTTGGCTGTGGTATATCTGGTCTTGTAAGCCTTGCCCACAGAACCACTGTACATGAGGTTCGTCACTAAGTCCATGCATAGGTTCGAGGGCGTGCCTGACAAATCAACAAAGAGTTTCGGGAAAGTCGACACTCCATCTTCGGATATCTAGCACCACGGTGCGGAGGCCGTACAAACAGACGCACACACGGCTTGGGTACGGATAGTGTCCGGGAAAAATGCTGCACGTAACCTCCAACACACCCTCCATGCACCGTATCTACTAACACAACTAAACAATATGGTCTACATATCGTATCGAACCTCCCGCCCCCGATGGCGTTGTCTGCACTGTGGCACGCAAAGAGCGGTTCATATCAGCAGAAGTCCTGCCGCATCTTGCGGATCACGCTTCAAAAATACCCTCGGCATCACTTCAACAACCCAACGCTCGCGCGAGCTCAACGGCTTCCATCAGCGCGTCCGTCTCATTTCTGACTGGACCGGAGGTACAAGCGCTCGAAAACAAGCACACCTTGTCCTTGGTGACCTCATTGACCCGATCCTTGTGGCGCCTCATGGAGGCTGCCTTGACTCGATCCGCCACCACCTCCTCGTCCCTCATCACCCTGAAGTAGTGGGCTCGGCTAAGTTTACCGGAGGACACTGCGAGGCCGGCGACCGAAACGGTCTCCTTGTTCTTGCCTGTGGTCTCGAAAACCTGTGCGTGGCATCCATCACGTGACATACATCGAAGGTGACGTTAGATATCACGCCCCCAGCATCGATTTTCAAACCTGCAATACTCCACGACGAGGAGAGTCAATGAACCACATGATATGTTTCCGGAAAGCTCTCGAGGAGCCGGAACGGTGCCAACGTTGTCGTCATTTGGGCGCCGACCCTCTGGTGTGGAGAAATCGTTCGTTCATTCAAAATAAGCCCCCAGCTGGTGTGATGTCTTACGCCATCTACTGTAAAAGAGTCTCGACATAGCTCTATCGACAGAACAGCTGGTTCGGCAAAACGCCACAACGTCGAGTAGGACACAGACGCACCAGTGTATCGCGAAGGAAACGGCGGATACCAACGTCTCGCGAGAAGCAAAAAATGAAGGAAAAAAAAGTCGTACGCATACCCATGTTACTTTTATGTTATTAATAGTGTGCTTCCAAGGGGACAGACAGTAAGCGTGAAGAGCGAAGAGAAACAGGCCAAGTCCGCACCTGCAGGGTTTTGGCTTCGCCGATCACGGTCTCCTCGAAGGCTGGGGGCAAAAGGCTGGACATGACTGCCTTAATGTCGTCCAGGAATCGGTAGATCACGTCGTGGCTGTGAATCTGTACGCCCTCCTTTTGGGCCTTCGCCTGCGACAAACACCATACACCATCATGACGAAGGACGAGCCCACCGGTATCGTAACGCCAAACCGTTGCAAAGACAGACGTTCTCGACGACACCGCTCGGGTACTGCTGTCTTCCTTCCTGTCCACAAGCAACCCACAACTATTATACCAAATCTGAGAGTAGCGTGAGATACCTCCTCGCCATCGTACAGCACACAATCCTACAGCGCCTGAAAATAATCTCGGTCCGACAGCCAACACGTGCCTACCTCCAACTCCTGGACACCCACCGCACACGCGTGGTCCAAGCAAAAACGCCACCCAAGGTTAAGCGCGACCCACCTTTACGTCCGCCGGGACGCCTCCGACATTGAAGGCGAAGATAGAAGCCTCTGCGAGAGCTGCAGCTTCTACGTCGGACTGCGTCACTGAACCCAGACCGGTCTTGAGAAGACTCAGCTCCACCTCCTCTTGTGGGACCTCGGTCATCACCTGTGGACACGACGCCGCCCACACCATCACCCGACAAAGCAGACATAGGGGTGGGATCAAGGGGTAATTCAAGCGATACCAGCGCTTGTGCGACACTTCAGCACAGAGCACTACTGTAGGCACCATGCTTCGGTTGCATGGCAGGACAAGGCGGAGGATCAATGGCAAGATAAGATCACCATGCAGGCACAGAATAACCATAGGAAGCGTATGACGAGCAGCATCTTTGCAGGGATGCAAGGGAGGGAAAATCATAAACTAAGAAACACTTCTATATAACCAACACCACTTTGGGCCTGTTCCGTCGCCGAGAAAGTGGTCCACTGGTCGACACAGCCCCAACCACAACAAAAAAAATCTCAAAGTCCCCGCGGTTCTCAACACAAGGTTAGACCTTGTCCTGCCGACCACAACAAAATATAAACTTCTCCTTCCTCAGCAGAGACAACAACTGCCACGAAATGCGTAGGAGCAACAGGCACACAGTAGTGCTAGATGCAGTGCTAAATACATTACTCCAGGCACCGGGCAACGCAACCAATGTTTCGGTGATGCCCACCCACCTGCGACATAGCCTCCAGCATCCCGAAGCCCTCGGCCTTAAAGATGGCGAAGCACTTCGTCGGGCCGTCATCCTGGTCCTCTTGCTGTGCCTCCGATCTTCGGATCGCCTCTTCGGCGTAGCTCATGGCCCTGGCGGCAAATTCCTCTGCCGCCTTGGCCGCGGCCTTGGATGACTCGTCCCGTCGGCTCTTCATCACCCGCTGCAGACAGAACACGGTAGACCAGCGGGAACACGCGGTATACATCACGCACACCGAAACGTAGCACTGACAAAGCGGTGTGTGGTGCAGCCAATATACACACACACAGAAATATACCATTATTTTCCTAAAATGTTCAAGTTTTAGCACCGACAAAGCGGTGTGATTATGGTGCAGTCAAACCCAATATATTACTCCACGCACACCGAAATACGTTCAAGGATTAGTACGGACAAAGCGGTGTGATCATGGTGCAGTCACATCAGGGGTCCACGTCAGAGTCAGAGAGTGGCACCAACAACACAAACGACGAGACGACGAAGCCGTAGAGAGAGGTGACCCGCCGTGGATATGCATGTGCCACCGTGGGTATCCCGTTCGCTTCACGCAATGACTCCCACAAGCTGCACCATTAACTCAAGTCTCAGAACACGAGCCTCGACTGCTGCATCCTAATATATATCAATAGTCGTCAAGTCTTTACCGCACAGGGCGCATTCATTCCTGGTGCTATGCATACTGTACTGCACATACGTTCCTCTCATCACGATGGCCGTCACTGGTGCTACAGATCGACGCGAGCCCCAGGTCATTATCGGATTCTCAGGGCCTCTGCTATTAGTAATATATAACTGGTGTAATGAAGAGTCTTACCGCAGCCGCCCTGGCGTCGTACAAGGCCTTCTCTCGTCTTCTGATCGCCGCCGTTGCCAGGTCCTTGAGCCGCTTCGTAGCCTGCTCGCTTAACCGCTTGCTGCCTAGCTTCTCAGCCTGCGATGAAAGACAGCAGCAGAAGATAAGGACAAGACGACCATAGCTTCTCAGGTTGCAATTACAAACAGCAGCGCATGCAAGATCAAGCGGTGCCTAGCTTAAGCTCTTGCAAGCAATTCAAAAGGTGTGTACTGTACTTGCCCAGCCGGGAAATTACCATCCCACGTCCTCGGTCAAGTGACATCCATCCCACTAGTTTCGCCCTGCTTCAAGCGTAAGATAGTCAGTCCGCGAACGGGGTTCACCCTCTTTTCACACTATTCCCCGTACGATAAAAAATCAAGTCTCTCCACGGTTTTTCACCCAAAAGACACTCCAAACGAACAAGCTTGGTTTGTGAAAAACGATCGTGGATGAAAGCCCAACATAAATCCTGGTGCACAGGAGGTCGCACCCCCCACGAATTCAATTAACATAACCCTGTCCTGGCCGCGAAACGCGAAAGAGAAAATTTGCTTGCTCGAAAACCCTTATTTCAATTTTTTTGGGGGGCAGGGCGGGTAACTTGATGCGATGTGCTACAGAAGCACACCTGCTTTTCGAGTTCCTTGACCTCTTGCTGCTTAATACGCTGCGCTATGACAGCGCGCGCCTCCGACTCCGAAGCCACCACCACCACCTCGTCTCCCATCTTTGGCAGCCCTGCACAAAACGTAGTTGAGACGGACCGAGAACGCGAGCGATAGGGGGCTTCATATAGGCAACGAGTCGGCAACGAGTCGTACATCCACAAACACCGCGTACATCAGTACCAGCCAACGCATTAGAAACAATATCTTATGTTGCTCCTGGGCTTGTTTCTTGTTTCTTCTGCGGGATACCCCAACATCGACTACATAGGTTTTAGAGTAAGCTGCTTGACTGAGCGCCTGCTCTTGAGCCCAGGTTCTTCAACTTATCCATCTTGAGCCTGAACTTCTTGACTCACTCCCAGGTTGGTACAAATCATGGCAATTATAAATACCAACTTATCTCTACCTTTAGCTTGAGCATCCACGCGGCTTCGTGCAGTGTTGGACGTTCCAATCGTCTAAATAAGGCGAGACACGTGACTATTACGTAGCAGCACCACAGATATGCCTAACGCGAGAGGTCATACATCATACACATTGTCACGGAACAACTGTAGGCAAAACACTGCCGTCTACTTCATGCACTCTGTAGCGTCTCAGCGACATGCTGGCTGGAACAGAGACCTAGGCAAAAAGGACACACTGGAAGACTGAGACTTACCCTTCATCCCCACGATTCGAACGGGTTCCGCCGCTCCCGCCTCCTTCATGCGCTTACCACCGCTGCTGATCAACCTGTCCCACACATGAGGCATCGCGGAGTCTCGTCGCTCCGGCAGACTATTCATACCGCATGTTGATGTTACGTCATCCGATTCAACGCAACGTCGCCACCAGCAACCTTGAACACCCAAAGCCCATTCAAACACAACTAACGACAGAACAGTATCACCCCCTTCGTGTTTGGCGATACAGTAGATAAATGACAACCAGAAGAGCGTGCGTCACGACGTGCATAGTTCTTGTGGGTTTTCCAGCAAAGGAAAATGGCGTGTACACACTGTCGATGATCGGAGGGGTGTGGAGCGCCGCGCCACCTAGCCGTGAGGCTGTTACAACTGTCTCGAATAACGCGCCTCAATCACGATCGCACTCATGGCAATGCACACAAGAACGAAACAGCAAGCGGTGAAAAGCACCAAACAACAAAAAACAAATCGAAAAACAGACACGCGCGCTGTTGGTAGACAATGCAGCAGCCTTATCCAGTCATATGGGACGTCGCAACAGGTGGTAATGCAAACATGAAATTACCGCCAGGGTGAGAGGCACGGCCTCACTCCACTCACCCCCGTACTTTGCCGTATTCCGTCCCTGCTACTACAACATCCTTCGGCTTGAGCTTTCCCCACGTCACGAGAACATCGGCCACCCCCCCCTGCCCCTTCACGATAGCACTGTCCACCACCAGCCCTTCCGCTGCCGCCTGCGCCGTAGAAGAAGGAGCCGACGCGATGCACGAAACAGCACCAAGAGAGACTGTGAGGAACCAGCCAATCACGCAACACCTCTCCCACACGTGTAGAGTGTATACATAGCCCACCACCATCTTCGCTCCTCCAACGAGCAAATTGAAAAAGATATCTCATCTCGCGTCAGCGAGGTGACGATGAACGTAAGCACCAGGAGAGCTTGAACACTCATGATTGCGAGCATTTACACTGTTCATGCCGCCAACGCCGCTGTAAAATCGTTCGCCATTGTTCCAAACCGCCTTGACAAAGGTCTTTGGAGAAAAGCCAGGGCCTAAAATACCTATCGGCTCTCGCCACGTCGTCTGCGGAAACACACCTCTCGAGGTCTTCTGTTTCAACAGGCACAGGGACCCTTCGTATGTCCAAACCAATCACGTTAGACCAAGGGATGCACACACACGACCAAAGCTGGCGAGACATCGTACGCTTCGAATTGTCTTACTTATGCACGGCGTAGTGAGCTCTGAGAAAGCTACTAAGAGTGCTACCAGATACTGCTGCTTGTTGCGAGATGGATTCTGTCTGGTGTTGTGTATAGTCTGAAACATGAACACTTAAAACTTGTTGGTCGTTGCACCCACGCCACACCATCGCACCGTGTTCACTGCACCCCTTACACTCACACTCTCAAGACACGTTTTTGCCCGATAGTGCCATACCCCTTCCCCCGTACAGTGTAGCCTTGCCTAGTGTACGCAGACCTATGAAGCCTTTTCACGTCGCGTCACGTCACATCACATCACGTCACGTCATGTCACATCATATCACGTCGTGTCACGTCACATCAAGTCACATCACATCAAGTCACGTCACCTTGTTGTCTGCTCGAAGTTCCAGGACCTCTGCTTGCAACAGCAGCGTCTCCAGCAAGTCATCGAACCCTTCTCGGGTCACAGCCGACACCTGGAAGAACCCACGTCGAGTACCAGCAATCACACAAGACATCGAAGTTGCAGTGATAAATACAGAGATGGTCACGAAAAACTACCGTGGTGTATTGGCAAATACACAAGAGACTTCTACCTTGAAGATATAATACAAAGATAATGATGAAAAACTACCGCGGGCAATGCCAAATACACCAGAGGTTCTACGATACAGTGATGACACAGACATGTTGACGAAAAAATATGTACTGCCGTGGTGTATTGCAAAGATACACTGATGCCGACGTTTTCCTCCAATTATCTCTCCTCGGACGCATAGCCCGCTGCAAGATAGATGCAAGATTATACAGGTATTACTGCTGTGAGGTGGCGCACGAAGCGCTACAGCAGTGCACTTGTTATATGCTTACCGGCACTATTGGCACCTCTCCCCCGTAGCCCTCTGTGAGAATGCTGTGCTCCAGCAGCTGCCGGGATATCCTGTCCACCGCCTTCTCCGTGTCCACGTCGTACTGATCGATCTGTGCCAACACCAACACCAACACCAACAGCAGATAAGGAATTGCGTTAATTTGTTGGAGCACGTACGACACATGAGCCAGCAATGGAGGTGTTGATTTGCAAGAAACGTTAACATCGAGCGTTCGGACTGGTCGAATTGGTCAACCACGGCACAGGCAAAGCAACACCGATGCACCCGCGGTTCGGAGAAAACGAGATCGACCAACAAAGCCCACTTTTGTCGCTGCGAACACAGCCGCGGCCCTGTTGAACCGCTTTGCAAGTGCCCATCAGAGATGCTGATAACCACCCGGGGCCACGCTGTCCCATGAACATTTTCGTCTCGCTCTCCCTCCACCTACTGCTGCGTAAGGCAGAAAGGTTGAAACCGTCTACTGACCTTCGTGACGGCCACTACGGGCGCCAAGTTGGGAAACTCCTTCAGCAAATCGAACACCTGAGGTGGGTAAGAACCATTACCAGTGACAAAACGGTGGGCACGAAAGAGAAGGGGGCACACAGCGAAAAATGGGTGTAAGGGTGGGGGCGTGTTCGAGTAGAGCGCAGCAAGAGTTTCGGCAGAAACTTGTGGAGACGCTTCAACACCGCTCACGGGGCCCCAGACATTGGTATCGTACTCCGTACAGTATTTAGGAACGTTTTCCGCTTTAGCCGCACTGAGACTGACGTATTTTCATTGATCAGCCGCTCAGCGCGGTCGATGCAAAAAGCAACGACACAACACACAGACAACTACATCCCACGACCGCAGCTTTCCGGAGAACAGCATCCCCCGAACCAAAAACGTCCGCCTAACCAGCAACGGCGGCGGCGGCGGCGGCGGCGGCGGCGGCGCGGCTGCTTACCTCGACAGTCTGAGACTTGACCCCGTCATCCGCAGCGATGACGACGACCACGATGTCCGTTAGCCTTGACGTCGCGTGGCGCATCGACTTGAACGCGGCGTGCCCCGGAGTATCGAAGAACGTCACCGACGAGTCCTTCACCTCCACCGAGAAGGCTCCGATCTTCTGAGTGATGCCCGCGGCCTCCGTGCCGGCGACCTTAGCCTTGGACGTTCGGAGAGCGTCTAGCAGAGTCGTCTTCCCGTGGTCCACGTGCCCCATCACGCTCACCACCGGAGGTCGGGGCTCGAGGCTGTCGAAAGTCTCTTCCGTTACCCTTGTCCGGCCGAGCTCGCTTTTCGGTTTCCGTCACGAGTCCGGGCAGTTTTCGCGGGGCGGGGTGGGGCGGGGGTCAGTTGGCGGCGGCAGGAAGTAGCAATGACGGGAGAGTACGGGTGATAGACCGGCCGACAACAGGTCGAGTCAGAGAGTCGGGGGGGAACATGTGACAAGAAACATTTCCGAGCTGCTGTGCCATGGCGCCCTGCGGCGATTGTTGGAAATGCTAATGTTTGCGGTGGTATTCTTGGGTTGTCGTTATTTCGTTATTTCCCTCGCCACGTTCCTCATATCATCGCACAATAGCGGACTGCTGTTTTCGTTGAAGAGCCTGTACCTCAACACTCATCGCCCGGAAAAATCGGACTCAAGTATTCTGTGCTTCCGTCATTGTCATATCAAGAGCTGCCTTACGCTACCACCGTTGCACTCAGACTCGCACAAAAGCCCGATGCAACGCACTACTGTAACTAAGGTTACATAACCCGCAGCAGCACATCGACTCCAAAACAACTACAACAACGCTTGCCAGATACCTTTCCGTCAACCATCCATACCATACAACATGGCTCGTATATGTTCCATTTCTCCTTCTCCTGCAAAAACAGGTGGAAGCAGAATAGAGGTTGCTTCACTCACCTATCTCTGAGCTTGAGAAGCTTGGTGCGCAGCCCAAACTCCTTGGCTACCATCTGCGCGATGTCGGGTTCCACCATGAACGACGGCGACACGTTGCTCTCTCCCATCTGCCTCAGCATGGAAACCACCTCGCGAGCTTTCTTCGACATGGCCACGGCCAGCTCACGCACAGTCACCGCTACAGCGGGAATCTGAACAAACACAACGGAGAAGCGGGAGAGGGGACATCGTAACGTGAAAAATCTGAAAATGCCGCTGAATATCGTCAATCCCGGAACCAACTACTAAAAGATGGATGCCACACCAGGAGTTAAATAGCAACCGCTGTAGCAACACTATTTCGCATGCGATGATGCAATGGGACTCGTCATCTCACCTGGACTTCTTTGGGAACGACCTTGACGTCGTTCTTCTTCCTTGAAGCTCCCTGCAACCCTCGGTGTGCCGCGTGTGACCCACCATATCTGCGGGTACGCCCACGAAACGAGAGCGACCAAAGCATCAGTCCTCGTCAGCAAGAGCAAACCAGAGAAGCGAAGAAAGCATTCGCACCAGCAAGAGGCAATCACATCAACTTCTGCGGGTAGACGTCTTCGGATAAGTCGCCAAAGGGTGATGATCGAAACAGTGGCACCAGGTGATGGCGACTTGTTTGGACGAGTGAGTTGCCTCCGTCGAATAACATACGTAGTACCATTCGAACCCACCAACCAAGCAACACAAAAGGTCACAATACGCGCTAAGAAATCACGTGCTACTGCTGTACCTTCCCCCTCCCATCATCTTGTCCAGGGCCTCCCGCTGCTCCTGCATACCCGAGCTGCTCTCCTCCCTCGCCACCGGCAAGTTCCAGGGCAGCGAGCTCGCCTGTGCCGCCACCTCCGCCGCTCTTTTCTCTTGCGCGGCTGCCAAACGCCGCTGCTCTGATCGCCCATGGATTGGAGGCCTGCGGCGCGCCTCGCTGTCCCCATTCAAGCTCATGGCCATCCGGCTTGCTGGCGCTGAAGCGTTTGGAGGTGATACCTGCGCTTGTCGAGAAAGGCGGCGCGGTGCAACACTCCCAAGCATGAGAAAGGCGCCGGCAACGTTCCAAAAATACCCTTGGCAAGTCCTTTTGCGTGCGACATGTGAGGTGCAGCAGGACAAAGAAGCGTTCCGCGAGCACAAGGCACGTGTCTGGCTTGGTACCAGCAAGGTTGCAAAAGGACAACAGCACCTACCACATGCCGCGATTTGATGCTGGGAGAAACGACTGATCCGCGAGAGAGATGGGGATGTTATTGCTGCCGTCTCTAACGCAGCCTAAGCTACTCAAGAAGCACATCTCTTACAGTAGATCTACCTCCATCAATGACAACAAATCAACAAGTATGGCTTGGAGGATGTTCTCCACCGGCATGGGTAAAATACCGTTCCGGCACCCAGCATACAGCGAAGAAATGGAGCATGCGATCACCGTTGTTCAAATGCGACAAACGCAATGATCGCGAGAGGTGTTTTCCTCTGGAAGCAGGAGTAGTTGGCACTGCAGTACGAGCTTAAGGGCGTTCTCGACCACATCGCAAACGCTTTGTCGCTATGCGTATGTGGTATCAAGCACGTGGATTGTCGAACATAATGATATCCTTGTCGCACAACATCATGACAACATGACTATATCCAAGCGCTACATACATCATAGCACGCCAACATCACGCCTCTGCTGAAAACAGAAAACGCCCAGAAAAGGCCGCTCCGGCCGTAATAGATAAAACGGTGTACCAGTATTGTACCAGTAGTTCGCAAGGATGGGTCTCTTGAGCAGCTAAATTAGCACGCAACGACGCAAAGAGCAACGAGCACCAGCCATACATCCATTCGGAGGTATCCTAAGACAGGCACACGTGAGAGTGCAAAAACAGGTTCCAACGATGTGAAGTCTCGGTTTGAATACAAAAAGCGTCGATACATGTGTTTACCATATGTCTTTCAGCGCACGGACTTTGGGTCGATGCAACAGACCGTCTACCAGCATCGAACCATCCGAGTAGAGACAGCGATGCAAAGAAACACACGGCCTGCGCGCCTCTCGACACGACGCGACCGATGCATGATGTGTGACGCTCACCTTGTTGTCGGAGTAGCTGGAGGAGGCGCCGTTCAGAAAAGGTCTCAGATGGTCCGACCTCACACCACCACCGGCGCCATTTGTTTTCGCCTCCACCCCGCTCGGATGGCCCAGCCTAGCAATGCTGCTGCCCCCTGCATCGCCGTAAGACTTTGGCTCGAGCGAGAGCTTGATGTCCCACGGGTTGCGCGCCGGCCCCCTGCTGTTGGCATTGTTGTTGTTGTTCTGTTGGGGAGCAGCGTTGCGCGTAACGACGGCCTGACTCCCGTTGCCAGACGCCCCGGGCGCAACATTTCCGTTCACCCTCAACGAAGCCGGAGGTCTGCTGCCGTTCAGAGCGCCCCGGGTCATGGCAGGGGCTGACACAGCAGCAGCGGCACCTGCTCTCTCGGGATCTCGCGAGAGGCCCCACGAGCTTGGTCGCACCTCCGTTCTACTGGTGCTGCCGTCGGCGGCGGTCCTCCTCTGGGAATTTGCGGCTGCCAAACTGGACCACGCAGGTGGCGCCGCGCCATTCCCACGGTATTCCCTGGAGCGGTCAACCTGCCGAGGCGATGCATCGGGGCTGCCTGAGGTGGTGGTCGTGTTGATGGCGTGCCTCCTCCCTACGACGTCATCGTCGTGGTCGGCGTGTTCCCGAGCCACTTCCTCAGCGGATGAGTGACGCCGCACAGCCGACTGGACAAAGGAAGAGCCCGAACTCCGCGTTGTTGCCCGGACAAGGCCACCGCGAAGCAAAAGCTTATTCATTGCGGCGCAGTAACGTCAGATTTACATTCGCCAATGTCGCGCGTCGTATCTGGAGCAAACAAGGTGCAGGTGCGCTGTGTGCATGGTGTGATGGTGTGGCGGCGAGATAACCAGAGCCGCCGACAATGCCCCCCCCTACCTCGTTGGACTTGCACTGCGGCCCCCCTTTTCATGCGGGAGATGGGCAACACACACACAACCGCAACAAGCGCTGACTTGCCACACGACACAACACTCCTCGCTTGACAGCAGTGCTCGCGTCTACGACCTAACGGCGAGAAAGAAGCCAAGAAACCTGGGCGTGCCACCAAGTCCTGCGCTACTCGGGAGGCGTTGTATCGGCACTTGAATCATGATCATGTTCGCGCGTGGGCTGATTGTTGCAGCTCTGATCGAGTCTTCATCAGGCTTCGTCAACCCAGCAGCAGCGCGACCAGGGGCCGTCGCACGCCTTCCCACGCCGGCCTGCGCTGTCGCCTTGCCACGGTCTACGGTCTCCCGAGGCGGGCGTTCGCTCGCCCTTGGCATGGTAGAAAAGCTGGGCCCTGACGAGACGGTCAAGAAGTACGGTCTCGAGGCCGGTCTGTTCAAGGCGTTGAAGGACGGCAACAAGGAGGATGCGGATGGAGAGGCTGGGGCGGCAACGACAACGGCGAAGGACCTCCTCAAGCAGTACGGCTCGGCCTACCTCATCACGTCCATCTCGTTGTCCCTGGTCTCGTTCGGCATCTGCTACGTGGCGGTCTCGAACGGCGTCGACATGGCGTCGCTCTTGGGCAAGGTGGGCATCGAGACGAGCGCCTCGGCGGAGACGACCGGTACGGTTGCGGTGGCATACGCGATCCACAAGGCGGCTTCGCCGATTCGGTTCCCGCCGACGGTGGCGTTGACTCCCGCGGTCGCCAAGTTCTTGGGGAAGGGGGATGGCGAAGAGACTGCTGCTGCTGCTGCTGGCGAGGAAGGAGAATAGGCATCGGGATTATGCTTTGAGTTGGCAATTTCCGAGCTTGTTGGACTGGCAGGAAGCACGGAGGGAGAAGAAGGCGAGGTTCGGACAGCAGTATACTGTTGTGGGTTTAAGTCTGTAAATGCTGTCAAGGTGTGTGCTGCTGACTTCGTGGCGGCAACCCTTCCGTTGGATGCGCTTGTATCCTGCGTCACAATCCAGTAAGCGTTAAGGTAATGCGTTATCACGATCGTGTATGCATCTTGCCCTCCAATTCTCGGTGGCGGTGCTTTTGAAGCACACGTCGCTGCACGCACCCATTTCGCTCAGGTCGTGGGCTTCCCGGTTGTTGTATGTCGTTGACCGGTGTTTGTGGGGTCTCGCCCTGGAGGCAACAACAGCATAGGAGTTGTTGCCCTTTTTATTTTGTATTGAGAGAGAGAGAAAGAATAGAGTTGGTGTGTGTTGATGGCTGTGGGTCAGACGATGGGGGCACATAGCTTAGCGATGATCGTGATCGGTCATCATGTCGTCGTTTCGCGTGTTCAGATCGAGCACGACAAGGAAAGATTAGAGCCTGGATGGTGTTGCTTTGGTCGAGCAAGGTACTTACAGTAGACCGGTTTGTACACATGGATTTTCGTGTTTCTGTATTGTTCGACCGAGATGTTTTCGTTGGGACCCGTGTGGAGTATTGTCGCCAATTTTCATCTGTTTTCGTGCACCAGTACAGCAGTAGTGTACCTCAAGGCCACGAACAGGCGCTCAAGGCTTCAACCTTCGTTTAAGGGCGATTTTTCCCACACCATTAAACAGAACAATTGTGTCGCTGGACCTACGGGCTCTCATCTCGTTTCAGCCTGTCGCCTTGCTTGCTTGTCCATGCGTATGTTCCGCGCTGATGGGGGAGCAGGCGTTCAGTAACTACGGAGGAACAAAAGATTCGTTTTGTTTGCTAGAGCAAGAAAGAAGGCTCTTCTTGCCAATGCCAACCATTAAATCGATGCGTTTCGCGATTGGGACTCGTCAGAGCGACACGTGGTCATAGTCGGGTAAACGGAGCACAAACAATTAGCCAGCATCGCGCTTGCAAGCGGCGGACGCGGCCCGTTTGCACGCAGTCCCATCGACCTTGTGATGGTCACCTTGCACTACTGCTGTCCCTGACAAGTCGCTGATAAAAGAGTGCTGCCCTGGCGTTGTGTTGGCAAATACGAATAGTTTTCAGGCGACGCACACCCCGCACCTTTTGCCCATCGGCCTTCGCGCATGCGAGCCACAAAAAAGACCCCGCCTCGCACAGATCACGCCGCCTCCTGTAAACGAACCACCCAATATGTGAGAAACACAACGCGGCGTTGTTCCCCATGTCAAGGGGCCTTCCATGTGGAAACCGTGGAACCCCCCCCCCCGGGCCAAGATTGCAGCGCAATATAGGGGGTTTAGGCGGCACGCTTGCAGCAGTCTAATGTTGTAGGCTTCGTGTCGTCATACTATTTCCTACACCATACACTAGACCTCGCGACCAAGATTGACGCGTGTTCTTGGGGTGTTTCCATAATTTCCACAAGCTCTGTGTGGGATCCCGCGCCCGCGCGCGGAAAAAAGCGCCTGAAAATATGGAAACCCCGGGGATTTTGTCAAAATGTCCCCGCCCGGGGACATATAAGGCCCATCCCTTCCCCCCCCGCGACCAAGATTGCAGCGTAGCCCAGGGGTGTTCCGACGTTTCCAGATGGAGGGCCCCTTGCCCAAGCAAAACATGCGAAAAGCTCCTCACCCGTCCCCTGCAATGCCGAGAGATTCTGCAAAACCATTTGTACGAGCACGTCGAAATCGCAATAGGCAACATTGCGGTGCAGTGCTCGTTCGCACGAGGAACAATAAAACCCGCCTTTTCACACACCCGTGCTGTGGGTTCGTCGAAAGTAGGGTTTTGATCCCCGACAACGAAGACCCCTTTTAACGCTGTTTTCAACGGCACTCGAGAGGCGTTCGGTGTGGAGAGGGGGTATGTCTCCACCATCCCTCTCGCGACGAACCTCACGCTTGATCTTGATTGCAATTCCAGCCTAAAACTGTTCTAGTGCTATCGAAACAAAACGTACGTACGCGTGTGTTCCTCGTTTGCTGTACAGTTTGACCTCCGGCGATTCTAGTTGTTGCGTTGTTTCAGTTTCAACCTCATTTGCTCTAAAATAGTGCGATGAAATCTTGTCCCCTGCGTCAGCAAGCGCCCTTGGTTGCAACCGCGTTTCGACGGAACCTCTACTCTGGTGCGGACGTCGACAATTACAAGTCCATCCTGGCCGTTGTGGTGGCAAAAAATGCAATTTGTTCCTCCTGGGCCATTATTTGCGAAATCTTTGCAGCAGAAATGCCTTTTCTGCATGCGGCTGTGGCGCCGAAGACACTCCTACTCCAAAACGTTTTTCATTGTTCGCATTACAGTATATACTGGCACTGGCAAGTTGCACCCGTTGCTTCTGCTGTAGTCACTCCGACATTACACGGAACCCTTTCGCTTTCGCTTTGTCTCGCGTCGTGAGGTTTGTTCCAATTTTATTTTTCCCTCCTCTTGCCCCGAACACCACACACTTGCAGCAGCGTACTCTAAAACTTAAAGGCGTGGACAACACCCGTTGTGGTATTCCACGAAGAGGTAACAAGCCCCCCCCCCCCACAGGAAGAGGTGATAAAAAAAATCGACGACAGAGATGGACGCTTTTGCGCAAGCCTTGATTCAAGGGTCACGTCGAGCATCGCAGGCTGCAGCTTCTTCGAGGTTAGTCCACATTTAAAACAGCCACCCCGGCATACTTCTCACCACGGCCAATCTCTCCTCAGAGCACATATTGACGCCCCCCCCATAGCGACCTCCCCAGATTCACTTCAACCTGGTGCCTGAGCACGCCTGGAATTCCAAAATTGGCAAAATTGTGCACTAGATTCCGTGTCCAGCGCGTATATACATACATTCAGACACCAACCCATCGGTGCTGCTTATTCTTATCCGTGGAGGGACAGGTCTTGCAAACAATTGATGCTCCCTCTCTCTTTGATTCATGCTCGGCAATGCATGGGATAGACAAGCTTTGTACATGCTTGTACATATACTGCTCGCATCACCGTTATCTACAAACCACATTATGTTATGGTACTTTTTTTTACTCGGTTGGATGACACCACTCAACAGGAACGAGACGGCGAACAGGAGGCGTTTAGCACACATGCAAAGTGTTTTACGTGTGGGGTGTACCACGAAACAGGGGTCTATCTGCACAGCTCGGTTGAGCTCAACCAAAATATAAGTTACGAGGCTACTGACAGAATACATACCAAACGAACTGCGAAACGTTGACACCGCAGTCGTGCCCACACTGCACCACAACAAATGTCATGGTTCACTGGACTAGCCTTGGCCGTCCTCTAGAACGAATTGAGGACCGTTGACAGAGGATGACAAAATCCTTCCACAATGCTGTGCGCCATTCATGACCCGCACCTAGCAGGGTATCGCAAGAAGAAGCCATGGTAGAACAAACCATTGCCACCACGAGGGCGGCACGAAAAACACTTGCCGTCTCACGTGGCTGTCGCCAAGTTCGGTTCGTATCTGTAGCGCGGGGGGGGGGCAAGATCAAACAGGGCGAGCGGCGAAGCAAAACGGGACATTGCGCTCAATGAGTACAAACACGCGGACTGCCTCTTTCAATAGTAGCGGCATCACTCTCTTAGCAGTAAACTTTCTTGTGCTGTTTTGCTACGGTGAAATACACGTCACCGAGGCGTCCTTCTTCAAAACAACCGATACGTGACTCCGAAGTCGATGCCACCAACATAGGTTCTGCAGTCGATGCCGTAGAACAAGGCTGTTGCAGAGCGAATTTCTATCACCAACCAGAAGGAAGCACCTACGTTTTTAGCAGTCCTCTTCGTGTTGTCATGGGTACAAAATACGGGTCCGTCGCAAGAGGTCAAGATCATTGTCAGAACCATCGATCACCTAAATACTTTTTCTTACACTTTTTGGATAGGGATAAGTGAGGCAAACTTTCGAATGGGAGCCGTTCCCTAAAAAAACGCATATTGAAACCCACGAGAACCAAATCGGCGTTGCCCCTATGCATGATGACGTCTGCATACTACATTCAAAACATCGGCGCCAACCTAACCTGTGAAACACCGTTGCAAGTTAGAAAATGATGGTGTTTTGGCCCATTCCAGACTACAAACGTTCAAAGGTATCAATCACGGCTCCTGCAGTAGCGCCTCCCTTCATCACAACACGGCTTTTATACAAGACCTTGAATATGCCCGATGTTTGCACCATCAGTGTATCGTTCCCAAATCAACTTGCGATAAAAGCAAGACAGCAGTGCCGTCTCACCTTCACAGGAAACCCACGATGGCGCGGAACAGACCCTCCTCCGCCAACTCCAGCACTCTCGCGAGTAGAGTGTGTGAATTACGAGCAGCAGCAGCAGCAGCAGCAGCAGCAGTCTCACTGGCTTGAACATTACGCTCGCCCACGCCGCCACCGACGAGACCGCATCCCTGTTTCCTTCTCCCCTTGTCGTCGTCCTCCCTTAACTCGCCGCCGGCACCTGAAATACGTGCACCTGTAGAAAGGCTCCTGACCCGGGGTCCATTACTACTGGCGTTGCTGCTGGCAGCTCTCAAACGCCGTGCCTTGATCCAGAATGCACGGCAAAGGACCAGGAATCCTCGGCGGCGCCACGCCCTATCCACGGGAGCATTCTCCAAGAGGTCGCGCACGCGCTCAACGTCCTGCTTGTTGAGCGGACACGCGGCGTATTCAATATGGTGACCGACTACCTCTGCAGCGGTCCGACCGTCCGGATTGAGCGCCGTTTCGTCGGCTCCACATCTCAGCAACATGTCAACTATTGCCGTGACGCCTTGCCTCCCGGCCTGTCTGGCCGCGATTATCAGAGGCGTCTCGCCACGAATGTCCCTCGCCTCGATGTTTGACCCGTGCTTGTACAAGGCCAAGGCGGCCTCGTGGCAATGGTTGATGCAAGCGTCCAGGAACGGTGTGCAGTCGTCGTCGTCCTCGACCTCCACGTGCGCACCGGCTTCGACGAGCACGTCGATCGCAGCCACCCTGTTATTGAGGGCGGCGACATGAAGGCTGGTGTAGCCGTCTGTGCGGCGATTCACGTCGACGCCGTGCTGGAGTATCGCCCTCAAAACACACGCGTCCCCCTTCTGAGCGGCTAAGTCGAGAACCGAGTAGCTCCTGTTCCAAATCCTGTAGCGGACGCTGGTGTCCGGATCGGCAGCCAACAGGGCCTTCACTGTAGAGAGATGCCCGTTTTCGACCGCAAGGTGAAGAGGCGTTCGCCCCTGGGCGTCGAGACCATTCTTCTTAGCTCCTCCGGCCAAAAGGGTCGCCACTCTCCCCTCCTGCCCCTGGCTGGCGGCGACGTGTAGCTGGTCGCTGCTGTCAACGCTCGCATATTGCAACGAGGCAACCTTCGCCACCACTAGGATTGGTTCCACCGCTGATTCGTCTACGTGTCCCGAATCAACGGCCTCCTCGAGAGCAACCCGCATGCTGGCGAGGTTGAAACTCGTTTCGCTGGACAATGCTGCTGAGGAGGTGAACAGCAACTCTGCAATTCCGCTGGAAGCGGATAGTGACGGGCCACCTGCGACTTGTGCTGTGCTGCGACCTCCGTCCCCTTCTGCTCCGAGCAACATCTGGTTACTGCCGTGTGGCCAAATCGGCACTACGGCAGCAGGAGAAGGAGTGAAACAGGGTTCAGAAGCCTTTGCAGTAGCTCCGTAGCTTACGACGACGTCGCGCCCGAACATTAGGGAGCAAGGCGCCCGGACATGAGAGCGAATAATGGCAGGTCGCACGCGTGCGTCGCACCTTGCTGCGAACCCTCACCCCAGCAGCAGACGATGGTAGTAGTATCGTACAGTAGGTTGGAGTCAAAGGCGTGGGGATGTACACAAACGCGCGTTTAGCTCCCCTCCGTGACACACCCTCGTCACTTCTCGTCACATCGTCATTGTTCGCAAGGACTTGTTGATGTTCTGCGACACATCATTGTGCATGCAGCTCTTTTGGGTTCTAACGAATCGCTATTTATTGCCCCGCATCACCGTAGCTCCCCCCCTCACTTGGCAACCCGTTCGTTTCGCGGAGCCCCTCCTCGTGAACCTGTTCACCTCGAGCAGCACCGCAGACCTATCAGACACCAGACACCTCGACGCGGCGGTCACACACAGGAGGAGAACTTACTTTCGAATCCAACATCCGGGTCTCACTATGAGGAAGCGCGTCAATATGCACCGGTTGGGGAGGGATATGAGTCACAGATTGGCCATGCTCAGGTGATATGTCTGGAAAATACGTGCTGTAGGTCGCCTATGTGCGGAGGACAGAGCAACCCCCAGAGACGGTAGCGCAGTACACCCCGCTGCTGTCGCCATTGAGACTATCTTCTCGCAGAGTATGCCATTGCTGCAACATGTTTATTTTTGTGCTAGCTGCTGCGTTGGTAGGCATCAAGAGGTAATCGAGCAAAGACTGCTGTGTACTACTGCTGCCAACACTCGCACCGACGTGACCTTCGATTGCTAGCGTTGACCCATCCACGGCTGCTGCTAATTGGAGTGGTACTCTTGTATGGTTCAATTATGGCGTAGAGCTGGATTAGCAAACACATTCTTGGACGCCCTCCTGCACACGTGCAATTTTCGTATCCCTTAGGAACATGGTGACCTCCTTCATCTACCACGAACGCATCCGAACGACCGTGCCAAGGGCGAAGGAGCTCCGCAAAGTGGCGGACAACATGGTCACTCTTGCCAAGAAGGGTAAGTCGTAAGTCGTAAGTCACCAACATGATCGATCCTCTGTTGTAAACGATAAGCAGACACAACGCAGACAGCTAGGGTTTAAAAAAAAAAGTTCACGCTGCTTTACCACACAACAGCAGTGCCAAATATGCGCAGACTACGCAGTGGTACGTGTCGAATCATTAGGCGGGCATGCCGGTTCAGGACTGGGAGGGGTGATCAACGCTCTGGGCGTGCAATGCAATTTGTATCCCCTAACATACACCGCGCTGATGTCGGATCACGGGTCCTTTGGAGGAAGGAACAATGCACACCTTGCTCTCGGTGTTGGTTGAATGCAGGATGGTTCGTCGCCATGCCGTAGGCGATAGCGTGGCGACATGCTCAGCCGCTACTTGTACGATCACCGCGCGAGATCCGACGGGCCGTGAATCCCCTAACAGCTGTCTGATGCTCTCTCATTTTTTGCCGGTGTCTTTTTGTCACCCTTTGGAGGAATGAGGGCGAGGCATTCGCTATTTGCGCACAGCCAAACTCTTCCAGGGGTAAGTAGTTGCAGGTCGCTCTCGTGTATCAACGTCGCCGTTCCTGCTTAAGCTGACAACAACCCGCTTTACATCTACGAACGTCGGTTGCTTTCACACTCAAAGGCACGCCTCACCACCAACGCCAAGCACAAGGAGTCGTTCGGGAGAACGCAGCGGTGGTAAAGCTCTTCGAGGTGCTGGGACCAAGATACAAGTGAGAAAACAACCGCTCGAACGAAGTGCGGCGGCCATGGTTCGCGCGAGAATTTTCCCTGTTGAGTGTGTGCATTCCTTCCATCTGGTGTGGAGACCATGCAGGTACTAGAATACGTGTCAGCTGCCACGTGCAAGAGTCACGGAACGCACCGGTCATGGGTTAGGTTTTATTTTGTAGTGTGTGCTATCCCCGCCTGTACGGGAGGGTCTTCTGTCTTCAAGGGCTCCTCTTGTGCGGCGGGCACGCCAGAAAGTGTCAGTGTCTTCACTGGCCATGTGTGGAGCTACTTCCGGGTTGGCTTGCAAGGTTGATGGCGTGCACACGAGCAACGTCGCGGAGGTGTATCAGTGTGCTGCTTCGTTGCAATGGAGCCAAAGTTATGCCTTACCGATATGCCAAAGACGCTTGATAAAACTTCTCAAAAGACTGGTCCTTTCAATCTCAGTGCTCAGGTGATGGGTCAGGCGCCGATGCTGTTTTCTTGATTCTGTTGACAGTATGTATTATCGCGGACTCATGGGGTGCTGCACACTTGCCGTCTCTCGTTATTCAGGGACAGGCCGGGGGGCTACACTCGAGTGATGAAATTGCAGAAGCCGCGAAAAGGAGACCAGGCCGATATGGCCATCATCGAGTTTGTCGACAGGTGAGACATGTAGTCCTGCCCTGTCCCCTCGCCCCTTCCTTGCCTTCCTTGCCTACGGTTTGAGTGCCGGGACGGGGAGAAGGGGGGGCAATTACTGCGGGAGGAGAGGTGGGGGTCAACAACTGCTAAGCTTGCATGAGCTAGTCGCCATACATTTTCCCGAAGCAGGTTGTGGCACGTGTCCCCCTCGCCCCCCCCCCCGTTCTTTTGCGTCTACTACAGGCTACCGTTACACCTGGGGAATGCGCGTCAAGATGTAGAGTGGTACCTGTCTAGTAGGAAGCGGGATGGCCAAGCGGCCCTCTTATTTCCTTTGTGGATATGTCACATTTATCTTAGCGCTGTTGGTTGTCCTTGAAGAATCAGTTACGAAGTACATCTGGCTGGCCGTTGCAGAAGAAAAGCAGTGCTGTCACCGTGTTGCGAACAGTGTGATTGAGTACGAAGGCCAATGGCACATTGTATACATATTCTCAACTGCTGTTTCGTACTGTTGTTTCGTTAACCAAGTGGTTTGAACGTGGCATCACGCAGTGGCAAGTTTATCAACCATATGAGATGCAAATAATGGTGTATCGTCCTTTGCCCGCTAAACTGCGCCCCTTGAGTCTACCGCGCACCATATGCTAGCGCACAGACGTGCTCCGCGCAATCTCGGCGGTGCTTGTGGTACAATCCCATCCCATGCTCCGCCGCAAACCACAAGTGCCCTTAAAGAAGTGATGTGTGCCAACATGGGACATGCTTCTAACACTGGCACCCATGAAATCACACGAATCGCTCGCACCGCAGGGAAGGAGAGTTGAGGCCAGCGAGGCAAGTCGGCCAAACACGTGGCCTGGTGGACTTGGTGGAGGACGACTTTTTGACCAAGGACCAGAAGGAGTCTAGCTTGCCATGACGCGCCCGTCAAGTGCTTCGGACTGTGATGGCGCGCTAAATTGATGTTGAAGGCGATGTTTGTCGGAGTGCAGATGCTGGAGGCTGACGATCGCTGTGAGGCGCTCGTTGCCATAAGGGCTTGATCTGTCTTGTAGTTGTCCGTTTTGCTTGACTTGCTTGTATCGCGGTAGCACAGCATTGGCTAGAATACCGTTTTGTGTCGGAATGTTCATCTCGTGTACGTCGGAAAATTGGTGTTCAAAGCCACTTGCTCGAACTCCTGACTCGTTTTTCTACAGCCAGCAGTGTGGACGTTCTATCTCCTCGATTCGGTGTATCCCTTTGTAGCTGGGAGGAGAGCACGAGTGCGTGTGCTGTATGGTACCCCGTAAAAATTGTGCATGATGACAGCACGATGTTTCATTTTCGACACGTCGCCCCCGAGAGGTTTGCACGGGCAGCAGTGTCAGCCAAGCTGTTGCTGCAGTGATGTGTTCCGTTCCGTATGCTACAACGTAGGATTCTGGAACGCCTTTGTAGGAGAGAACCATGGCGACGAGAGCCGTAGATTACAGCCACACTGAACCTTAACGTAACCGATGACAAAACATCGCATGGCATGCGGGCTTCGGTGCTGGTTTGGAATTCGAAGCACTGTTGTGACGCGTGCCCACACAAGCACACAAGGTGTTGCCCGATAAGCGCCATTTCAGTTTGTTGTAGACTGGCACAGGTTGTGGCAATGCTCTTCTCGCCCTGTTTTTTTTAAGAGGGCGAGATTTAGCGGTGGGAGGGCTGTTTTGTGCCACATGAGAGCGGCCCTCTAATTTCCAGGAAATTTCGGCAGGTGTATAGGATTGTTGAAAGCAAGCCGACGAATATCGTCGGCGTTGCTAGTCCCAAGCTTTTTTTTTATTTTAGTCGCGTGTTGCGCGTGTGCTGACACCACGAACGGGAAGGACCTTAATTAGCCGACACACTACGCAATAATGGTCGTGATGACGCGGGTACGCAATAAATAAACAACACATACATCCGATCCTCGGGAAACACGAAATGCAACGTCTACATACACACTGTCTGTCCCTTGTACACACGGTAGGCACTCTGTCTGTCCCTTTAACACGGTACGTACTGCTTTTGCCTACCACTCTCGTCCTCTCGTCCGCATCAACAACAAACAATGCAACTTGCCGCACACCAAGAGCCATCCCTGCAGGAAAAGCTGTACAAACAAGCAAAAAGCAGCTCCTGCTGCTGTAAGCTGCTGCTGTATGTACCATTTTTCAGCACGCACGAACAACAGATACAGCACAGGCGAAGGAGCTGAGTCTGCCTGTCTGTGTCTGCGTCGGCGTGAGTAGGGGTGGGTGTGAGGTATCGATAGAGCAACGACAGGATGCTTTTTTTTATTATTCTTCTTAATATGACACAACGAATCCATCTCCATCATAGAAAAGCCCAGAACTGCTGGTAGTTCTCGGAGGTTCGCAGTGTGGGCTGAGATCGGCCTTTTCGACCCGGTCGGGCAAGGGGTCCGCTATGCTACTGAAAACTCCACAGACGGAAAAAAAAGACTTTTGATCGACTGAGACCCAAGCTAGAGCTTGGGAATTATGTGGGTGTTCGTGCGAGGGGCGCCCAGAAAAATTCCACGGTTTTCGTTCGTGTGGGACACTGGCTGGTGCGTCTAATATCAGCAAAAGATGCATACTCTTCGCCAAACCACATCACGTTAACACAAACATCAACGGCTATGTGTTGTTACACGTCTTGTGCGCTTATAATCACCCAATTTGCATGAAGAGGCAAGCAATGTCGCTTTTCTCCGTACGGCTTTTTCGCCGTTCGGCCGATCTCAATTTTTGTCCGTCGGCACAACCGCCTTTCATACTGTCCGTGTGTGTTGTAGTTCAGGGATTGCTCGGTGATGAGTTTTCCTGAGCACCACGGACGCTGTTGATGCACGCATAAACGAGTGACACATGCAAAGCGCACCGTCAAACCAAGAACGTGTGTCAATCGCTATTGCAGGAACGGCATGCAGCACAGAAGCATGCAACCAATATTTCGTCGTGTGCGCCACGGTCGGTCCAATCAGACAATGGTTGACCGATTTCAAAAGGGGTCATGCCGTCGCCATGAAGTTGCGCATAGGGCAACAAAAACGCCGCCGACACACACCATAGAGAACGACACATGGCATTTTTCGTGCACAAATCATGCTCTTGTCGGTCGAGTATTTCAAGTCAATCAATTAATTGATATTTCCATGGCCACACTCCCCCGTTGAAAAGAGTATGGCCACTGCTCCCTCCATGCCGCTAAGCAAAGCAAATGCCAGAAACGAACCAACGCCATCGCCGCCACGAAAATTACCTACAATACCAAGAACCGCTCGATGCAAATCGAAATCGCAACGTAACCGGAAAAGTCTAGCACTGCTGTAGAATTACGCAACGTCAACGGAGTCACAAAAGTCTACATTTGTCTACTCTTCGTCCGCCTCCTGCTGGTCGTTGACGATGGAGAAGTATCGCAGCTCGTAGGTGTTCTTGTTGCTGGCGATCACGTGGAGGTAGTCGCGCAGCTGCTGCTTCTTGAGGTACTTCTTGGTGAGGTACTTGAGGTAGCGCTTCGAGAACGGAGCCTGGGCGGTCACGGTGATGCGCGCCTGCCACAAGTAGAGGGGGGTGGGTGGGGCGATGAAAACAGTGTCAGACAATAGGTGTTGTGCGCTTTGCCAAAACCAACATCGACGCAAAATAGTCTAAGACAGGTGGTGTTAACGCAGCCGGGGGAAACTGATCGCAGGCGTTCGATCGCCACCCCACAAACTCTGGGTACGTGATCATGACCGGATTTTGTGGCGGGGACTGATTTACACATTCGATGTCGCGATGGTGATCGGTTGTAGTTTAGGAGGAAAGAAAATATGAGGAGACCACGGCCCAACTCAAGTGGTTAAAACGTTAAAACGGTCGCAGACAACGAGGGAGTGCATTCATCCTGTCAGGCCGTATACTAACGGAAGTGCCAAAAATCAAAATCAAAATCGACATCTGATTGGTCGAATATCTGCCACCTCCTGACGATGCCCTTTGATTTATGGAAGTTCCTCTGTCTGGGAACAAGTCCCAGGGGAACTTTTTTTAATCAAAATCAATACCAAGGAGGCAAGGAAATCAAGACTTCGAAGGCTTGGAGCACCTGCCGCGAGGCCGCTGCAAAGCAAGTGTACGACACGACCTGCTGCACACTGCTCATAGAGGGGCTATCGGCACCCTACCACCGAGACCATGGCCATTATTTGTAGCCAGAAGAGGACTCTTGCTCGCCGGCAAGCCAAAAAACGGGCCGGCTCGTTGGGTGCTCGAGGAGAAAACGCCGATCGTGACAAGCGGTGAACGGACTGACGATCAGAACAGGGCTGCACGGCGTTTTCGGGCTGTTCCGTGCGAGAGAGGGTAGTTGCAACCGTTTTTCTCCACACTCACGATACTCCAAGGCATCTAACCTTGTACGCGACAGATGGGTAAAGCTACCTCCCGTCGCTTGGCATTGCTAATGCTTCTGCTTCCTCCTTCGAAGAGTTATCGCTGAAAAACTAAACTGTGAGCAGCCATTCGGCGTGAACTTGAACTAAAGCCGCTCTCTGATGTGGATTTTTTAGGGTCAACCAAAACTTTCTCCCCTACACGCACGATACCCCACGGTAGCAGACCTTGGGCTTGAAAGATGGAGCAGAGAGGTACCTCCCGCCACGTGGCGTTGCTGTTGCTTCCTTCGGAAAGTAATCGGTGGAAATTATAACCTTGGCGGCCCAAAACACCGAATTGAAGTGACCGCTCGCAACCGTTGGCATTTTTGCTTTTGACACAACCTTTTTTTTCCGGCGCATTCGGCACCTCACGGCGCCAAACCTCGGCATTACCCAACAGCCCATGTTTCCGGCTCCTTCCGGATACTGTTCTTGAGGCAACTCGTTAGTATTTGGCGAGATATCGGCCAACACGTGAACAGAAGGGCGCGAAACGCACCCTAGAATAATCACCGCTGCGTTGCGCTGCTGGCCCTTCCCCTGGCGCCAGGTCTTTGCGATTTTTTGTCTTATCTGTCTATCCTCGTTAACATACACGACCCTCTTTTCTCGGTTTTCCACGATAACGCATTTTGATTTTGATATTGGCTCTTCGTTAATATTCGCCCTCAGGTAAATGCGTATGATTTTTGTTTGCGCAAGGTGGCACAGCAAAATGCGTCCAGAACCAAACCATGCATATCCGGGGACGCGCTATACCCGTAACACACAATATATGGTGCCGGAGTGAGCAACGCCGTGAGGTGCCAGATATTGCAAGCTGCTATGCCTCACGGTCGTCGCGCTATAAAGCGCCTTGTTCAACTTTAGGTAATGAGGGCACCAAAAAAACGCACGCGAGAAGTGCTATACGACGGAGATTAACATGACAGGCGTTTCACGGCAAAACACTGAATGTGTGTGCGGTCGCTTGTCTTTCAACAGCACTGGCATGGCAACAGTCGGCTGATTAATCAGAGACAGCAGTGGCCTCGTCGGTGTGTTTATCCAGAATATTCTGGGAGGTTCGGTTTTACACCACTCGCGATGTTTTTTACCGCTGCCGCCGTCGAGCGTGCCTGCTCCTGTTGAGGAAATACACCGCTTGGTAGGCGTCAACGTTCGCTTGTTTGGTTGCCAGGGTACAGCAGCGAATAGAAGATCGAATCGGCGTCCTGCTACCACTCCTTGTCTCCCGAAAGGTCTCCACGGCAACGGAAAATGCGTTTCTGCTGCCCTTTACCGGTATTGAGCACTTGCCTGTAGTTCTTCGTCTGCGGCACGTTTGTGTTGCG